TATATATATATATATTAACATAACAAAATTAATATAAACTATATGAATTCTGGAATTTTAAATCACATATAAAAATACTTAAAACTATGAATCTTATGTAATATTATTTTTATATTATATTAAATATTAATTTGCTATTTTTGTAGATTTCTGCTTAAATACAAAGATACTTGAACTTTTGTTACATGTATATCAAAATTAGTCATATTATAAAAATGTAGTAAATAAATGGTGTATTTCCTATTTAGTTTCTATTAAAATGCATTATCTTGATATGTTAATAATTAAGCGTAACAAATTTATAAAACACTCATATTTCAATATTTCATTTTGATATATTTACATTCCTTGATAAATAGGTATACGTTTTGTTACAAATGCTGCTAATCCTTCAATTCTATCTTTTGTATCCACAACTTTACTATAACATTGTTTTTCAACTTCAAGTCCATCTGTAATAGATACTTGAAGACCTTTTGACATTGCTGTTTTTGCCATTCTAAAACACAATAAAAATAAAAAATAAGTATTATCTGTTATAATATGTTATATTATGTATTATGTTTATAAATTAAATTTGTAAAAATTTTGAAAGTTAATATATTTTTATTAAATAAATTTAATTGTTTAATTTAATCATCAATTGTTTGAAATTGTTAATATTTTATCTTATCAATTTTTAGAAACACAACTTTACTAATATTATTAACAGAGAATATTTAATATTATCTTTATACTTACTTAACTCCAATAGGACCATTAGGTAAAATTTCTCTGGCAATTGTTAAAGCAGTTTGATAAGCAGCATCACCACTTTTATTTTGAGGAACTACTTGATTTATTAAACCAATTTCCATAGCTTGTTTACCATCAACTATACGTGCAGTATAAATAAGTTCTTTTGCTTTAGCAATTCCAATTATTCTTGGAAGTCGTTGTGTGCCACCTGCTCCAGGAATAATAGCCCATTTTGTTTCTACAAGCCCCATTTTGGAATCTGATGCTGCAACTCTAATATCTGTGGCTAGAGCAAGTTCTAAGCCACCACCTAATGCAGTACCATCTATAGCAGATATTACTGGAGTTGGTAATGTCTCTATACTATTTGTTATGCTTCTTAAAAATGAAACAAATTTTAAAATTTCTGAATTATCCATCCTTCTTCTTTCTCTTAAATCTGCACCAGCACAGAAAATTTTTGGAACCAAACTGCGAATAATTAATACTCGTAATTTTGTATCTTCTCTGATGGAAGAAATAGCATCATTTAATTGACTAGTTAAAGTTTTGCCAAGAGCATTAGAAGCAGTGGGTCGATTTAATCCTAATACTACAATACCATTATCTTTTCCATCCAAATATTTAAGTATTATTTCTTTTACATCATTTTTAGGATTTAACATTGCATTGGTAGATAATGCTCTTACAGTAATTGTACAAAAAGAATGAAAAGTATATTTAACTCTTGTAGTTAAAGGACCCATTATATAAAGCTTGTATATGAACAGTAAATTAAGTCTCGTGCAATTACAATTAAGCTAAAAAAATAATTTTTATGATTAAAAAAATAATATAAAAGAACAAAGCTTGATTAATTTAAAAATTATTTTAAATTAATTATAATAAATATTAATTAAATAAATATATATATATATATATATAATATATTAAAATACAGAGTTTATATTTATATTAAAATTTAAACTGTTTTCAATATAATCAATTATTAAAAATTTAACTAAATATATTTGCAATAAGAAAAATAAATCAAATCACTGATACTAATATATTAATATCAACACAAATCTTGATCACTTGCAAATAGTCGGCATTTA